AAATCAGAGAAGCTGCAATTTTAATGATACGGAGGAAGTCACTTGTTTAGAGCCTGATTTGTGATTCTCTATTGCCCATGACAGCTTATGCTGGTATTATATTTGCTTCTGCTCTCACTTTCCCACATTTCTGGGGACAATTTTTATTCCATAACTTGTTTTAACTCATCCTCCCTGATTCCCAACTGTCCTTAGATGGCTAGGAAATATGGAATTAACCCTTCTATAAATCATTTAACTTTTTCAATGCTTTTGTCCCCACATCCATAAATGGGGACTCACCTCTGCCAGACCAGTGTGGCTCTTGGCATCTCAGTCACTGAACTTTCTGATTTATCTTGATGTGCAACTCTCCCTCCAACCACTCCGGGTGTTGGAAACCATCTGGGAATTACCTGTATGTCTTTTCCAAGTTTTCCCTATGAAAACAGTTTTCATGGGCTTTGCTGGCTGTCAGGTTCTTGTCTCCCAGACCAGGTTATAAGCTACAGGTTTGGTGCTCAGTGATTTGTAAGTAAGGACTGCTAGAGGGATTGGTTCTGACCCAATGGGAGGAGTGATGTGTTGCTTATCCTGGGATTTAAACTGTAATTAGCTCTGATTGCATTGAGTTTTTAGCATCTCATGTGACTGTGATAAATGGTTGGGATCACTGATCCTCATCACCACACTCCCTCTTCACAGCTGGGGGGATGCTCTCCTGGCTGCCCCACCGGCTCCACTCCCGTGAGCATCCCCAGCCCTGCACGGGGCTGCCAAGGGGGAAATGTCACTGCCCGTGCTTTGGGAGCTTCCTCAGCAGCACTGTAGTGGGGAGGGCAATGTCCAGCTTCTCCTAACTAGTGCCAGGGATTTCATGCCTCCTTTGTTGGAAAGTTTTCCTGGAAACTCCAGTGAATTCAGAGGAAAACAGAGCTTTGTCTGGCTGTAATTCCCAGCTCCAGATGTTAAATGTTTGAAAGGACTGTAGTTGGACTAGATGGTTGTTGTTTGTCTCTTCCAACTGAGCTGTTCTACTCTATCCCATCCCACCCCATTCCATTCTATGGGATGGGATAGAATGGAGCATGGATAAAGTGCTTCACAGTCATTGCAACAACACTTAGAGCCAGGAAATGCCCCCAGGTTTGAGATGTCCAGCCCAAGTTTTGGACCAGGGGTGGGAAACTGGTATTTTTATCATTACACAACCCATACACTGGGGTTGGCCTAGTTTCCTCTCTGCAGCATGTGTGTGTGGGCTGCTGTAAAAGTTAAGGCTGGAAATTAAATTGTTCCTGTGATTCCATCCATGACCAGAATCAACCCAATTACCATTGTCAACCGGAATTTGGAGTCCAGAGCTGAGACCATAATGTAGAGACCCATAGCCTGATCTCCTATGCACCTTCTTCTAATTCTGTCCTCCAACCTCCACTGGAACAAAGTAAGTCTCTCCCCCTTCCAAAATGCCCTGAAGGTGCCTGTGCACTGTTTTCACCCAAAAAATGAAGGCTGGACTTCCAGCTGCTGAAAGACTCAGGTTGTTGTCGATTCTCAAGGTTGAGCTGGTGATGAGATGTCTCTGTTGGGGTATCTATGGCTGGTGGCCTGGAGCTTCCAGTTCCTTGGTTTATGGGAATACATCTCCAATCAGATTTCCATTGGAAAAGCTCCAGTTCATGTATAATTTGGTAGGTAGCTCCCCAAAGCTGGTACAACAACCCCAAGGTTGTTTCCTGCCCATGGTAAATTTGTGGTAGAGGATCTCAATAGGTATTACTAAAAAAGCATCAAAATACAGTCAAGTGAGGTGACTGAACTTTCTTGTTATCATCTAAAAGGGGAGTGAGTGTCTGTAAGTACTGAGTTACTTCCAGCCCAAGAAATCACCTCTTCAAGCACAATATTCAAGTGGATAAAGTCAAGGGAAGCGGTGACTTCTCTCTGGTAACCATGTGGTACCTGCTTCAGAAGCGGGTAAAACAACAGCAGTTCCAATGGCACCAAATTCACCCAGGTGGAGGAATTCAGTGTGACAGAATGGAAAAGAGGGGAGAGGAGAACAGGGGGATATGACACCCATCAGAGGAGAGGGACACCCATCAGAGGACTGCTACACTGTCCCACCATGTCCTCAGTGCCCGACCCATTCTCTGGCCCTGAGCAGCCGGGGGAGTGTTGGCTCTGCTGCATCCCCTTCCCAGGCCTGCTGCACCTCCAGCTGTGGTCTTGGACAAGCCCATCTGTCCTCCCCTTACCACTGTGGTGCCGTTACTGATAACACCACCTTTATGGCATCATTGATGGTTATGGAGAGCTTTGAGGTTCTTGGGTTGGGAGGGCAAAGGCCTGTTGTTTAGTGGGCACCTCCACGGAGCACTGGAGGCACCACCACACAACAGCCCTTTGCTCTCTCTTCCAAGACCATTTAGGACCCTTGGCTTTGCCGGGGTAACATGTTGCTGGTCCTCGCCCCTGTTGCTGCTGCTTTTTCCCCCCTCTCTGTCGCTCTCACTCCCCCTTTCTCTCTCCTCCTCCTCCTCCTCTCCCGGCTCCGTAGCAGTTTCCTCGGGAGTGTTCAGCTAGCTGACACATTTGCCACAGATGGATGGTGCACACGGAGACAGCTGTCACTCCCGATTTGTGGTCCACTGCGTGACAGCAGGACTGATGCCTTCTGAAAGGCCGTCTCGCGGAGCACATGCACTCTGACATTCTTCGATGTGAGCCCTACAGACACCTCTCAGTGGACCTCAGGAGGAGCTGGCAAGCGAGCCCTTCCCGCTCCCCCTCCCCGGAGCAGCCTGCAGGCTGGAAGAAAGCAGCCACTGTGGTGTGCACACACACACAGGCACGGCCAACCTCCTTGGGTAGTTCTGTGCCACTACTGGTCTGCCAGGTCCCAGCCCGGCTGTTTGCTCCTGATGCTGGTGTATGAAGTGAGGCGGGTGGAGATTTGCAAGAGGGAAAGGTCACCAGCAAAGCTGCTCTTTTCCCCTTTTCCGCCTTTTTAATTGTAGGAGGGAGGGATATGGGCTCCAGCTTCATTCTGTCAGAGCAGCTGCCTCCAGCCTCTTGAGTTCCTCTGTCACAGCAAAAGCTGATCAACTCTTGCAGCCACAGCCCCTTCAGGCCTCTCTGTCTCCTCCATCACCAGTGGTGGCCTCCATCACTTATGTTGGTCACCATCACCCATGGCCCACACAGCAATATGGAAACCTTGGCAGGGATTTCCCCCCACCCCCCCACCCCAGCACCTCACAGGGCAGTGGGGCAGGATGTCCTAACAGCTCCTAGGGAGGTTCCTCTCACCAGCTTGAGGCCATTTGCAGAGGTAAGGCTGACTTAGGCAAGGCTGGCTCCTTGGAGAACAAAGCTCTCCGTCCTTAACTGGACTCAGGCTCACAGTTTCAGGTCCCAACCACCCACACCTGTCCTAGGTACTGACATGTCAACACCTGAGTATTCAGCTCTGAGACCTTCAACAAAACCTTTTGGTGGGACTTTCAGGTGGACAGAAAAAGCAAAACAGAGGAAACAGTATTTAGCTCTGGATAGAAGAACAAAATCCTCCAGATGCCAGACACTATGAGAATGGGAACTGGTCCTTCCTTTGGTCTTCAGGGAAAAAAATTTCCTTTCAGAAAACATATATGCACAGCTCTTATTTCTCCATCTGACTTGGGGAAGGCTGTTGTCAAAAGAATAGGTCTTCCCAAAAGGGAAAAGTTTGAACTAGATCTAGAGAATATCATCTGGGTCCCTCTGGAACTGGCCTGAGATTTCCCCAACTTCTTCATGTCTGAGTCCTGCCCCATGGGACACAAGAACCTGGTGGCACAAGGTCATGAAAAAAGTCCTTCTAGAAAGGTCTCTGGGTAGTGCTCAACAGTGGAAATCCAGGGAAGAGGACACAGGCAGAACAAACTTACATGAGACTCCTCTTGGATACTCTCCAAGCTTTCAACCAGTTATAGCTGAGGGACTTCAGGAACCAGGTGGGATTTCTCTGTATCCAGTAACTCCTGGTGGAGTTCTCACTCCCGCAGTGCCTGGGTGAGGTCTGTTCACCCATCCCCTTCCAAAGTCTTTATGAGCCATTTAAATACACAGGAAGATTTACAGAATGCCAGGACATCAGTTCTCCTGGTTGCTTTGACCCCTTGACTCCTGTTCCCAACCCCTCAGAGCAGGCTGAGTCTGCTCAGCAGGACATGGAGAAGGTGTGGCTGGCTTGTGCCAGGACTCTGCTTTCCTGGGTCCTTCAGCAGCAAGAACAGTGTCTCCCACCAGAGTCTGAGCTGCAAGTGTGTTGCCTTTGAGCTTTCTGGCTGAATCCAGCTCTGTTATCCTGGCAAGGACACCTCCAGCCTGGTGGGAGGTCATGCCAAGGCAGCATCAGCATGAGAGGAAGGTATTCAGGTGGGATGGGGGTCCTGGCAGGGGAGATGGGGCACCTCCCCAGTGCCAAAGCTGGGAAGGCACCTCCCTGTGTGGCAAAATATTAAGATAAGTATGGATCCAGCAGGAAAGTCCACCATCAGAACTGCAAATTCAAGATTACTGAAAGTCACCGAAAACCGTAAGAAGAGGCTGAGATGGACCAAAGTGCAGTTGAAACTCAAGAGAAAGGAGCAGTGCCATTTCCTCTCGATGAGAGCACCCCAGAAAGGAAAAGAAAGACCTGCTCTGTCACTGGCACCTGTACTTTTCCGTCAGGCTATCTCTGAGCAGGGCTGTCTGACCCCAGAAGGTGGGACTGCCCAGGTCAGAAGGCCCCAGCAGTGGCTGTGAGAAAGGGTCCCGTGGGGGCACTGTGCTCCTCAGCTGCAGAGAAGGCTCTTGCAAAGTCTCAGGAGGTTTTGGATGGACACACTGCAGCTTGTCCCTGGAGATGTCCAGGGTCACAGCCTTTGCTCTGATACAGCTATTTGAACTGAGCCTGGGAAGACCACGCATTCTGGCACTGATGTGGGCCCCTCTACAGCAGCATCACAAGGCTCCAGAACACTCAGGGACATCAGAAGCAATTATGTTGTGACAATGTGGCACTCTGGGGAAATCCTGGTCCATCTGGACAAAGCATGGTCAGACCAGGTACTGCCCTTTCCAGGACTTTCCTTCTGTGATCCTCAGAGCGATGAGGACTGGTGAGGCTGAGCTTTAGCAGGATGGATGTGTGAGCTCCAGGGTAGATCTCAATTCAGGCCAGGTCTGGTGAACCAAAGGCAGGAGACACAATCCCAAAGCCCTGGGGGCAGCTTTGGGTGCCACAATATAAAGGAGATCTAAAGCTATTAGAGAGTGCCCAAAGGAGGGACACGAGGATGGTGAAGGTTCTAGAGAGGAACAGAGCTGTGTGAGGAGCAGCTGAGGTCACTTGGCTTCTTCAGCCTAGAAAAGAGGAGACTGAGGTCAGACCTCATCGGGGTCTGCAGCTTCTCCACGAGGAGCAGTGGAGGGGCAGCTCCAATCTCTGCTCTGTGTGAGCAGGGACAGGACCCAGGGAGTGGCTGGAGCTGTGTCAGGGCAGGGTCAGGTTGGATCTCAGGAAAAGGTTCTTCCCCCAGAGGGTGGTTGGGCACTGAACAGGCTCCCCAGGGCACTGGGCACAGCACCAAGGCTGCCAGAGCTCCAGGAGGGTTTGGATGATACTCTCAGGGACAGAGTGGGATTGTTGAGGTGTCTGTGCAGGGCCAGGAGTTGGACTGGATGGTCCTTATGGGTGCCTCCAGCTCAGGATATTCATGGTTCTATGACTCTGTGGTTCTAGATGCCTCTGCCCGGAGAGACCCTTCAGTGCAGACACATCACCAGGCTGCCCCTTGGCCCTTCAGCTCCCAAGGTGTTACAAGGAAATCTTTGCTCACAACCCCATGGGGCTCAGCTCCAGATGCCATGTATTTAGGTGGTCCTGCCAGATGCCACCTCAAAGTTAAATTCCCCCTCTTTGTGTCAGCTGGAGATGGGGGATCCCTCACCCATGTTCAGCAGTGAATGTACCCAAGGTTCCAGAATTGTTTCTATTAAGTGGTGTAGCACAAGGCTATTTTTTTCCCAAATATTTTTGAGGGAGGTAGAAATGCAGGTCAGAAGAAGACGCAGGCTTACAGGCAGGGTCTGGGACCTTGGAAGCACACTGTCAGTCCAGCCAGGGTTGGGTTGTTTGGGAAGGGAGTAAACAAAATTTTTAATGAAAATATTCTTAGATTTTGAACTTAAACAAAATACAAATAAAACCAGTTGAAACAGAGCAACACAATGTTCATAAGAAAAGCAGGAACCCATCATTATGGACAGAAAAACAGTCCATCTGTGCTGCATGTGACCAAATCCACTAGAAGACATCAGGCTCCAAGGGAGACTCCTGCCTGTCCTTGCTGTCCCCACCGTGGTGGTGGTCGGGACACTCACACATGCCTGACCCTGTGCTGGCAGCTCCCCACCACCCCCTTTCCCTTGGATGGGTGAAGGGGGCAGCCCCAAGCAGAACGTGGAGCTTTTCCTGGCTAGCCCCCCACTCCAGGACGTGCCATCTCAGCAACTTTGCACATGTGTGATGGCCCTGGTGCCCCAGGACCTGGTCTCTGGGTGTGTTTGGGGGAGGATGGTTGCACAGCCCCGGGAGTGCCCCGTCCCTGCCCTGCCTGGCAGCACTGGGGGCATTACTGGGGAGGGGTAAATAATTTGTGCTGGAGAGCTGCAGATGGACAGAGGCATTTGGCAGTAAAGCCTCAGCCCCTCACCTGCTGGAGGTGAAGCAGGAGCAGGATCAAGGTGAAAATGCCTTCACATCTCACCAGCCTTGAAGAGCAGATGAAAGGGGGCACTGGGAGCTGGGGATAACAAAAGGAGAACGGGGAAAGTTCAAGTCAGGCAGGGATTTCTGGCTGGTGGGTTTTCCACTGAGAAATTCTCTCTGCCTCTTTCATGGTGATGAAGATCCTTTTAATTTTTTTTTCTTCCCCCTTTCTCCTCTCCTTCTCCTTTTCCTCTTTTGCCAGGCTGATAGCTGGGAGCTGTGGAGCATGTGATGCATCTTCCATATAGGGGCAGGAGCAAACCAAGACCAACTGATGGACGCCCTAGGGCCAGACTTGCAGACAATATATAACCTACTGCATGATCTAAAACGCTTCCCACTTCCACAGAGTGAACATCAGGCAGAGCGGAGCCGCAGCGAGGGAAGAGGAGTCCTGTGTGCAGGTAAGTCCTCCTCATCTCCTGCTCCAGGAGGATGTCCCACGTAGGGGAAAGGTGCGAGGGACCTGCTCTGTGCCCAGCTGCTGTGCTGGCAGGAGGGCTGGGGCAGTTACTGCTGTTATTAGTGGGGATTTTTTAAAGCCTTTTTGGTGCCAGCGGAGTTCAGGACGGTGGTGGGGAGAGTGGGAGATAGAACCTGGCAGACCACAGACTCAGCCCCTGTCCCTGCAAACACCGATGCCTTGAGTGGGAGAGCATCCTGAGCCAGCCGGCGTTCCTTTACTCTCGTTAGCTGCTGTCGGGGTTTGCCTGGGCTGCGGGAAGATCACGGCTCCTGCCTGGCTGCTCTCCGGCGTCTCCCGCCCATCACCGTCCCATCCCGCCCGGCCGCGCCGGGGGCCCCTTTGCCTTTGATAAAGCAGCAAAAAGAATTACCAAACAACTTTGAAAAGCACTCTTGCACATCCCTCTCGCTGCCTCCAGCACTTTCCTGGCTGCCTTCACCTTCCCGCGTTGGAATTCCCTTTGCAAGGAAAACTGTTCCCAGCCGGGACCGAAGGGGGGATGTGGGCTGGAGGGAACCGGGTGGCAAACGCAAAGTGTGAGGGGTCTGTGTGTGTGTGTGTGTGGGATTATGAGGGGTCTGTACAGCCCAAATGCTGCGGTGTCCCTGTTCCACATATCCGGCCCCACGGAGGGGGACCAGGCTTTGTGCTGGAGATACTTTGTGTCCTGCTGAATGGAAAATCATCCTAGCAACCGCTCCGCGCTCCGCGGGGCCTCGCGAGTTTATGGAGGGGTGGGGTTTGTTTGCTTTGGGGTACCGACTGTGTGCCTGAGGGAGATGTGGGATTGAAGAATCCTGGCCATGTTTGGGGCTGGGGAATCTCCATGAACTCCCAGATTCTTGGGCAAGACCTGGCTGTCCCGGGTAAAAGGGCTGCTGTGACTGTAATTGGGATAAAGAGGTACAAAATCATTAAAATTAATGTTGGGGGGCATTTTGGCTTATACACCCCCAGTGAAAGCACAGATGAAAAAAACGCTCTGTGTGAGGCCAGGCTGAGGATGTTGCCTTGCTCTGTGCCCTGGTTTCCCCCCTGTGCAGTTCCCCTTCCCCAGTGCTGCCCGTGCAGGGGCAGCGTTTGCCGCGGTGCCCCCGCGCACGTACGAGGGGTCAGCCCAGGAGAGCGGCAGAGCCCGGCACTGATGGAATCCAGGCTGTGTTTAGATGAGGGCACTCAGAGAACCTGCAGCATGAAGGCAGAGGCACCTCTGCGAGCAGAGCCAGCTCTGCAGGGTGACACGGGTGGGAGGGGGACAGCTGCGTCCCCTCCACACTGAACCAGGATGGGGGTCACCCCGAAAGCACCCTGCACCCCGTCTGTGGGCACCGAGGCTCCAGGCACGGCTGGAGCTGCCCATCCTCAAGGCAATCGTGTGTGGAGCCAGGGATTGATGCCCCCATGACACGCAGGGCCAGGGACGTGCTGGGGGGTTCCCAGGGAGTCGAGGATCTGTGCTGGATGTCCTGCCAAGCAGTCGGTGATTTGGGCCAAACTCTCTCTCTGCTGCCATGAGTTTTTCCTGGGAAAGGACGGTAAATCTCATGGCACCACCGGGATCAGGCAGAGCAGGAAGAGCTGTCAGGGGCTCAGGAAGTGCCCCGCCCTTGGCTTGGACCACAGGAAGTAGAGAGGACACCTCACCCCCCGGTTCCAGGAAGGGGACAGTGGATGGACCTTTGAAAACTCGTCCTGGTGGCAAATGCTCTCAGATTTGTGCTGCTGAAATGAGGACAGTGCAAGCCCTCTCCAGCTTTTTTGGCCCCCCTGTGTAGCGCTAAGCCCCCAGAATCCCATTTGTGAGCAGGGCACTGAGTTGCTCCCCCTGTGCACTTGAACCAAGCAAGTCTCAGCCAAATCAGGCAAAGGAGTGGCCAAGAGGGTACCTCTGGGTGCCCCCATCCCAGTGCCACTGGTAAGGCAGGAGGTCCCCAATGCTGTACATGAGTGCCCAGCCAGAGGGAGAAGCAAAGATGTCAGAGATTTTTTCTCCCTCATGGGATCAGATTATCCCTGTCTTCCCCTGCTTTGCTTGTCAGTGTTTTCTCCTCTCCCATCCTTCCCAAATTTCGAATCTGGGACAAATTTCAGGGCAAGCTGAATTTCAGCCAAACTGAAGCCTAAAATCAGTGCTTCCTGTTCTCCCAGACCCCGGGCTGATTTCAGTCAGCAGTGATGGTTTTGATGGGGGAGACATCAAGAGCATGAAGCATCCACTCCAGCGCCATCCCTTGATGTTCCCACCTCAATGAGCACCATCTGCAGAGAGTTTTACCCCTGCAGTGCCTTATTCTGCTCCAGGGTTTCTTGGTGACACCTACAGCCCCCACACAGAGTGAGGACACTGCCTGTAAGGGACCACCAGCCCTGCTGGGACCAGACCAAGCACAGATCCAGAACTGAGAGCAGGACCTGTGTCCCTGCTCTCCTGCCAGCACCAGGTCTTTTGGGATGTAGAAATGCTTCAACTTGCTCTTTTTGGTCTGGGGGGTGGATTGACTTACTCACTTTAACGTTTGGTTGCCCACCTTGGTCCTGGCCACCCATCCTGGTACTTGAGCTGTGTCTGTGTTTGCATCAGGCTTCGGATCGTTGTTGTTTGCAATTATCATAATTTCTTATCAGAGGTGTGGGGCTGGTGGGTGGGTTGATGGGCAGAGCTGTTGGTGTTCCATAGTTCCTCCTTATGGTCCTGCAGAGCTTGGGAGGAGCATCCTCCAGATCTGGGGAGAAAAGGGACCGACTCCATTTCTGACGTGCTGTAAGGAGCAAGTGCAAGCCTGGATGGAGCGAGCCACGGACGGGGCAGGGATTGCAGAGGCATCCCATCACTCTGTGGCACAGGTTCCTCTCCAGCATCCAGGATGATTTCCTGGGCACAACATCAGCCACCCCACCCCAAATCTGGGGCAGGCACCGAGCCTGGCACCGGGAGCGCGGGGCAGGGCTGGCAGAGGCAGCGGGGCTGGCACAGCTGTGTGGCTTTCAGAGATACTTGATCGATAGCTCCTTCCTCCCGCTCCCCCCGCTCCCCCAGTCCCCACATGCATTTTTCATGCGAACCCCTCCTGGGCAAAGGCTGTCTGCGCAGGAAAAGAAACTGAAAAAACCGCAAAACACAACAAACCGCAACCAAAACCTACTTTTGTTTCTCTGGTCCTCAGAGATTTTTGTAGTTTAAGGGCCAATCTATAGATTCAGGCTGGGAATATCTTTGCTCCATGAACAAAGAGGGATGAAAAAGCTCCCCGGGGCTTTTCTTAACCCTCTTCATTTGGCCCAGAGTAGGAAAAGGCTCTGTACAGCGAGGGGTCTAATGGTGCAACACTGTCTGGGCAAACTGGGGAGGCTGGAAAGGGGAGCTGGGCTCCTCTGCAGCTCTTCCTGGGCTCACAGCCCTCCCAGGATATGCTGGGATGATGTGCAATGGGGGTCCCCCCCCGGGTTCAAAGGGTCTCCAGGGCTCCTCATATGGCTGCAAGTCAACCCATGCATGTGAAGCTGGGTCCAGGGTGATCCCAGGCCACAGTGGCTGGTAAGGCTGGTGGATCCCTGGCCAGGTCCTGCCTGGCCCCCCACAGAGAGCTCAGATGAAGGTTTGGGTATTTCCCAGAATGAGCAAAAAATCTGCAGGGTTTGGGCAAAGGGCAGTTTTCAGGGTGAATTTTTTTTTCTCTCTCCTGTTGTCTGTGAGGGGTGCTCCCTTTTTGCTCCTTATTTTTGGGTGGCACCAGTAAGACGGAGCAGCATCCCACAGCCCCTGTTGTGCCAGGGCTCCTGTGACTCTCCCTCCCATCACCGGTTCCAGCCCTGCCTGTGCAGGGATGCCGAGAGCACCGGGCAGCTGCCTGCGGGGATGTGTGTGCTGAGGGACCGATCCCAGGTGAGGGCTCAGCGCTTCCCGGGATCCCTTCAGACCCACGCTTCCCACTGCATGCCTGGCACCCCACTCTGGGCACTGCTTCAGCCCCGTTACCTTGGGAGCACGCCTGTGCCCGTCACAATCGGGGCCAGACCCATCTCCTGCGGGTTTTGCAGCAAGATTTCCACTGCGTCCCCAAATTCCCCCTATTTCCCTGGGAAGCTGATGGCTCCCACGGCCCCGCAGCAGCTTCTCTGGTCCGTGAAGAGCCCGGGCGGCGTTGGCAGAGTACGGGCAGGCACAGAGCATCCCCCCGCAGCCCTCCCACCCCCCCGGGCCGAGGCACCGGAGCCGCACCGAGACGGCGTGTCCGGGGTCCAGGGACGGGAGCGCTCCCCCGCTCCGCCGGCGAAAGGGCACGGACCAGAAATAGAAGGGGGAGGAGGACGCCGTGACCTTTCCAGCAGCCGGTGACGAATAAAACTTTCCGGCTACCTGTAGGAAGGCGCAGGGCAGGCTCCGTTATCGGCTCATCAAAGGACGACGTCCCCTGCGAGCAGGACAGGAAGGGCCGCGGCGCCCGTGGGGGCTCCTGGAATGAACCTGCCGGTGCCTGGATCCGGCGGGTGTGCGTCTCCACACACGCGGGAGGCTCCAGCCGCGGCCGGGAGCTCTCAGGGTGCTCCCGGAGCTGAGCAGGGAGGGAGGGGAGGATGGCAGTTGCCACCAGCACGGGCAGGAGGGCAGAGAGAGCCACCTCTCTGCTAACAGGCTCCCGCGGGCGATTTGGGCTGCTTCCCTTGGGACAGGGCAGGACGGGATGGGACCCACCGTGCACAGCACAGGAGAGTTCGTATCCAATTCACCCCTAAAGACCCACCTCGGCCGGGGTCCCCCTGTGCCCCCGTGCACCCGGGGACACTGAGAGGCAGCAGGGTGCTGCAGTGGGATGCGGCAGCCATCCGGGGGTACCAGGGTGCAGACTGTCCCTATCGGGCTCAGAAAAATGCCCCCAAGCCCCATGGCAGCAGACCCAAGGAGAAATCTGCGTGGAGGCTGCCCCCATCCCCTCCTCTTCCTCCCTCTGGGATGCGGTGGCATCCACTCGGATGGAGCGAGGCAGCCGTGCTCCCCCCTCCCCAGTTGTCCCCCTGCTCGTTGACCCGGGTGGGGGGCGCTGGCAGCCGGCTCCCCCGGCCCCCCCTCGCAGATGGCGTGGGCAGCCAGCACAGGTGGCCCTGTGCCACGGCAGATTGGGCCCGGCTGCCTGCGGAGTGCCCGGGCAGCGCCGCACCCCTGCCGCGGCTCGGGGACAGCAGCAGAGCCACGGCCCCCCCGTGGCGCAGGGGGTGCACAACCAAGAGGGTCCCCGCACTGCCGTGCCCGGTGCTGGATCCGGCTCTTCAGCACTGGCACCAGAGCCCCGTAAAATAATAAACCATGGACGGGAGGGACACGAGGTCCCCTCACTTGGCCCCGAAGAGATGAGCTGAGCCAGAACATCAGGCGGTTTTGGGAGGGTCCCGTTTTAAGGAATTGCATTAAACAATGCCGTGCAGGGTTAGTACGATGCAGATATCTGGGCTGGTCCAGCATCCTGAGAGGATATTCTCAGGATACAGCTCCCCCGGTCCTTCCAGCCAGAGCCAACACCCGGGGGGGAGGGGGTGCCAGGCACCCCAGCTGGGTGTTGTGAGGCTCGCTTCTAGGAGAAAAGGACCTGCAAGGGGACAAGGGGGGGCCTCTCTTCACCGCGATGGTGCTCAGCCCCACACAGGGATTCCAGAGCACGAGCTCCAGGGTGGACACTGCATCAGGAAGATGGCATCACCTCCAGGATGGGCACGGAGTGGGGATGATGGTGGGACGGTCCCAGCTCGAGGGGACCCGTCCTGCGACACAAAGGGGGATCTTGAGCTGGAGATGTGGCACAGAAGCTGTCAGGGCAAGGGTGGTGGCTGGAGCAGGTAAATCATTAATGCCGGAGAAAACCAGGCTGGCATCCTGCCCATCACTCGTCGACAGGAAAAGTTGATGTTGGAAGGAGAATTTTCACGTCTAGTCTTCCCCTCCCTCCTCTGCCTCCCCCCCAGGGACAGAGGGCTGGAGCAGGGAGCCGGCCCGGAGCCACGCACGCACCCAGCCCCAAACCAGCCTCTTGCCGAGCACGTTCGCTTCCAGCCCAGCTGGTTTTGCTCCCAGCCTGCTCCGTCTGTGCACATTAAAGCTTTTTCTAGGTCTGAACTGCTTTTGGCAAGCCAGGCTCCTGTTGGTCCTCACCACCCTCCCCATGGCTGCTCCCCCCGATCCTTTCCCCGTCTGGCTCCCGCTCCCCCTCCCCGGTCGAAGCCCTGCCAGGGACATGGCAAATCAGCGCGAAGCCTGCGGGGCAAATCGGTACAAATGAGACCAAGCAAGAGGGTGGGGAGGGACGGCGAGGGGGGGGATGACTCTTGGGTTGGCGCTTCTGTTGCTTAGTTTGATGTTTCCTGCAAACAACCCTGTAAATGCTCAGGAGCGGCTTCGGACATCACCTGGCCCCTGCCTCGGCGGGGTTGGGGGACGCTGGGTCCCGGGCGTGGGGACAGCCCTCACCCCGCTCCCACAGCCTCCCCGCAGCCTCCCGGCCCTGAGCAGGGACCCAGACGGGACGGAAAAGGGACCGAGCTGTAAGTCCTGACATTTTAATCTGTTTTGGGGAGGGATGGGGTGGGCGGAGGGCAGAAGGTGATGGAGGCAGCACAGGGGTCCCACTGCGGGTCTAGGCAGGAAACAAAACCCACCAAGGACCTGGAGGGGAAAACATTCCCCCTGTTACAAACTGCCTTCTCTTGTCAGTTTTGCACTCTCCCAAATAAATTCCCAGGCATCTGGTAGTGCCAGGGAAGCCCAGTGCCACACCGAGCTCGACCAGGAGCGGGAGCTGGTCCCCGGACAGGGGATGCGCGAACCCGCTGGGTGCAGGGAGGCGGCTGTTCCCGAGGGATGCTCTTTGATCCCGCTCTCCTGTTTCTTTGCAAGCCGTGTAACTCCTGCTTATTAAAGGCACTCGGCACCGGGGAGGTCATATGGGGCCTTTCTGCTTGGATTGCTCTCCTAATGACATGTCCGACTGCCTTCGTGAGTCCCTGACAATAGAAAGTTTGTGGAGGATTTTGGATGCTTTCCCCACGGCCGTGTGATGGGTGGCAGAGGTCTGACTGTTCTTTCCACTGAAAAATGAAATGATACATCGGGAAAAGGGAACCAGCCTGAGAGGACATGGAGGGCAGGTTAATTTAAACATATTTACCTCTTCTTGTTTGTGTAATAATCAATAACAATGGTTTTCTGCAGGTTCGGAGATATGATGAGTGTTTGTAATTGTATTTAACAGTAGCACAGTATTATCCGTATTATCCATAATTTTTTCTTCCTCCAAATCCTTCTTAATGGAAGTGAAAACTAAACTGAGCCATTGAATTTTCAGAGGAGGTGTGTTATTGAAATGCCTAATAGTGTCAACTAGGAATATACTTCCTCATGCCAAAGGATGCCTGTTTGTAAAATTTTGGTAATTAAATCAAAAGGTCACATAACAAGGAACAGTTCACAGCAGTCAGAGGCTTCTTACAAAAAGAGACAAGGAAATCAGGTCAGTAAGGCCCAGCTGTGTATCCAGGTGGTGGCAAACCTTGGGACTGGGATGGGGACAGGTTTTGGGCACCCTCTGGGTGTTCCCTGCGTGGTTTCATGGAGCTGCCCTGCTCTCATCCTTCCTCCAAGGGGAGGATTTGGGTTCCCCTCTGTGAAAATTCGCGATGGGAGGTTGTGAATGTATCACCCCGCATTGGTCTTCTCACCCTTTCCTGGAGCCTCCAAGGAATTTGAGAGTCCTGCCCATTCTAGAGGCAGTGGGAGGGGGCCCTCCGTTTGAAGGGGGGAGGCAGAAATCCCCCCCTTCCTGCACAGGCATCTCGGGGACTGTCACAGCATCTCCTCCCGGCTCCTCCGGCGCTGCCGACACCCGGGAATTGCAGGGACGCGGCCGCTCCACACGGTCCTGCGGCACAGCACAGGTTAACGAGCTGCATTCCCGCTTCATGCTCCAGCTAATAACATCCCTGCCTCGTCCCAGTGGCTTTGCCTCGGGCCGTTGTTACTCCTCCTGGTCATCCCTTGGCCAGTGCAGACCTTGCTGGGCGATTTGGTGGCCAAGTGCTACCTGCC